GCGTTAAGGCAAACTAATTTCAACAACTACTCCATGTAGCTTAAGACTCGTAACAAATGTCCTTCCACATTAATCTAAGAATTTTAAATGTATCAATTATTCTTCCTGATAAGAATTTTGCAAATATGTCTACACATAAAGATTATGAATCTAAGTTCTTTAATGATCATTCCTAGTGGGATATGAGCGGAGAAATGTCAAAATTGATATCGTCATGGATTTTGGGTTCACCGAAAGCTCACTTTACAAATAGTAACAACTTTGGGTGGTGAATAATAAACTGACTAATATGCACGTTGCGTTAAGGCAAACTAATTTCAATTTTTTCATTGATTGTCTCAAATTTCTTGTCCGACAAATGTGATATCGTTAATGTAATGTAAAAAACTGTCGATTGGTATTAAAAACACACGTACATGTATCAACTTCCTTAGGGACGCCACAGCGACATGTTGAGAGCGTCGGACTCCCCCGAAGCCACGTGCTTTTTGTCCGACATATATGATATCGTTAATGTAATACAAAAAACAGTCGATTGGCATTAAAACTACACGTACATGTATCAACTTCCTTAGGGACGCCACAGCGACATGTTGGGGGTGTTGGACCTTCCCCAAAGCCACATGGTTTTTGTCCGACAAATGTGATATCTAAATTCTAAGATCTTTCGTCTAAACCGCAGTCCTATATTCAAAATAGTCTCCGAGAAAATTCCTTGTGAAGATAAATTATGCAGGAACTTATGATGTCACAACCGCCGAAATCGCAATCTTCTGTTCGTTCAGTCGTCAGTGAACTGTACCCTATACTTTGAGTGTTTGCAATTCACTCTAGGAGATAATTGTCTTTTGTTTTGGAAAACTCTTACACGTGTTAATACTGTCTCTAATAATCCAGTGTGACGTCACAAACATCTAGTTGTAACTTTAAACCGCCCTAACTCGAAAACGGACCATTGTAGCAAGATGCGGTTTAAAAATTTATTCTTAGATTTTTTTGCACTAAAACTTTCATTTTTGGGTCACACCCCCTTTAACACTTCACACTCCTTACGCACTTATGTTGTTAATTCTAAGGATCGAGTACCCCGCCAAGATAGATCTGGAGTTTACTGCTTGACGTGTCCAACAGACAATGCAAAATATATTGATCAGACTGGGAGAAGTTTCTCAATGAGAATAAAGGAACATATTATGTCTGAATTTAATAAGGCCGTTGATAAAAATATTATCAGATATCAGATCAGATTCATCACGGCTCTACAACCTTTTTTAACTCTTTAAATTTTTAAATTTTCAAATCTTTTAACATTAATTTTTTATAATTTTTCTACTCATTGTGAATTATAATAATAGTATTTACATTTACATAGTTGATTCATAGGTTGGGGTGTTCTGCTGTTTTCTGTTCATTGTTCTATCTGCATCTCCCTTTTTCTTCTCTTATATTCGTTTGTTGAAAACCCCTATTTAATTACTAGCTTCAGCCTGATATATTTGGAAGTGCTGTTTTATGTACCAATAGTTAGGTGGTCGCTATAAATTATAGATTCCTTCCATTTTGATATTTGTGTTTTTACTGTTTTTACTATTCTAACTTTTTGTAAAGGCCGCTGGATGTCGCTACGATATTGAACTTGGTTTGCTTCAGGAATTTGATTTAACGGTTTTTTTTTTTTTTAATTTGAATTTTTATCAATCTAATCCGTTGCAATTTCGTTCCTAAACAGTTTTATTCAGTATACGTTTTTTAATTTCTTTTTGTATTTTAATGTGTTTTTTCTTTTAAATTTTTGACTTATGTTTTTGATTTTCCTCCACCGTTTGGTAAGTTTTCCAATTTTATACTTTTTGGAGTATAATTCCTATCATCTCCTGTATCCGCCAGTTATCTGAAGTGGGCTTTTTTTTACAGCAAATCCAGCGACCTCATCTAAAATGTTTCAAATGATGATGTTTTAAGAGCACTTATTGTGAGCATACTTGCCCCTGATGATGGAACTCTCTAGTTCCGAAAGATGTAGGGTTCTATGAAATAATTAAAGTTTATTTGTGGAGGAAGACTTGGTGTTTTTCTTTGAAAATTAAATTTCAACTCCACTTTGAGTCATGGACTACTTCTTCAATTTAATCCCTGATATTTCCTGCGAAAATGACGCTCATTTAACTGAAAATTCGCTATTTTCAAAAAAACCCAATAATGGTGGGTTTTATCAACTGAAAAAACCCGAAAAACCCCACTGGGTTTCATAACCTAGGAAAATTCTATGACAACCCTGTTACTGAGGTCTTTTCGAATAATTTTTTTCATATTTTCAACCCTTAAACCTGTAACGATTTCGAAACCAATTGGACAAATTACTCGGAAAGACTTAGCAATCATCCCTGAGAAGATGAAGGTGTAACCCCATCCAAAATCTCGAGAGAAAAAAAAAATGAAAATGCAATTTGAAGTTAACTTTTTCAGATTTTTAACCCCTAAACCTGTACCGATTCTGAAACCAATAGGACAGAATGTTCGTTAGTTTTTTCATAATTTCAACCCCTAAAATCGATACCGATTCTGTTGGCAGTTCAGAGCTGGGATTCTGTAACGAATAAGAGATATTTTCGCTATCTCTATTTGCCCACCCTATTTTTTTCGGAAAGAGAGAAGAAGACAGAAAGTGCCATAACGATAAGGATAACGATCTCTATCCGTTACAGAATCCCGCGCCAGGGGTAGTCAGCGAAATTCTATCAACGCCTATTTCTATTAAACTTTGAATCCCATATATTTTAAGAAAAAAATTAGAATACAATATTTGGTGCGGGTAGCAGGCGTCCAAAATCGTGGCTAGAAACCGACGCTAACTTCACGGAAATATGACGAAATAGGTACAGGGTGTTTCCTTATATTTTGACCCCTACCTACAGCTTTAGCTATACGAGGTGGAAAAAAAAACTTTAAATATGGAAGTTGTAGGGTTTTATGTCTATTATCTTTTGCGAATATCAAAATGGGCAATATGATATTGAAAAATGCAAGTGTTTGTCATTGTGACAGTTGGCACCTGTCATTTGCCCGTTTTGGCATTCGCAAAAGATAATAGACATAAAACCCTAGAACTTTCATATTTAAAGTTTTTTTCCACCTCGTATACCTAGCTAAAGCTGTAGGTAGGGGTCAAAATATAAGGAAACACCCTGTACATTACTTTTGTCTTCCTTTCTTTCAATGCTGGATCGCCTAAAAGTCTCGATCCCCCGCTGTTGCACAGTAATAATATCGGCATTGCCTAAAGTTTTTTTTACATATGAAACAACATTCCTCAGCCGTAGCCATTGTGAAATAGACGATTTTCACTTTCACTCTCAACGTTATTGTTATTAGCCAGACTACATAGGACCCTGAAACCTGCCGCCTCATTTTCGGAAACTATTTTTAGAATAAACATCAATATTGATAGATAAGGACTGTTATTGGAATATTCAATAAATAAACAAGAATAAACATCGACAAAAGGTCACATCGCTTGCGATTATTATTAAATGCAGAAGTACCTACCTATGCATTTCACCAAAAAACTTTTCAAATAAAAGTTGTGGCAAATACCAGTCCGGAGCATTTTTGTAGAAAATATTTTATTGTAAAATCCTTTTGTAAAAAACATGAAAGAATAATACTTTGGCTTGCACTATTTTCCCCAATAGCTACGCGAGCAGTCATGTGAAGCAATTAAAATTGCAGTATATTCATGAGAACAATAAATAAAGCCATCGTACCAAATTTCAGCGCTGTGCGACAATTTTGATTTTTTTCTCACTTTTTGAAAAATTTCCGCGTGACGTGTTCGGGCGAATTGAGTATTAACGAAAAAAAAATTCCGCTGGTGCATTATGAGAGGAATAAATGGGCTGCCGATTGTCGAAAACTGTCACCAAATATTTGCCCCAGTTTAGAAATTACAGTGAATGCAAAAAAGGGGTAGTTTTCGATGCAATTTACAACTTTCTAGCACATTAGGCGAGTCGCTGCTAGCCTAATTTTCAAGCCTAATATTCGAACAAGAAAGCATTGGAGAGTGCATTTCATTAGCAAGTGTTTGAACAATTAAAATCGGATTATGCATTCGGCCGCTGCTGCACCAAATGCGCGCAAGCACGCGAAATGCTGATTCAGTGACCTTGAACAAAAACATGCTACTATTCAAGACGCGCTGCAGAATAAAAACTATAGAAGATAAAAAAGTGCTGTCGCGGAGTATTTTATAGCAAAAAACTTCAGCTACAGCAATGATTTGAAACTTCTTGCTATTGGACCATCCCTTTGAGCAGCGTTCTCCATAAACCGCAAATTTCCCCTAAAAAACACCCCTAACTAGAAACCCTATGGAAGTACAAAGTCGCAACCTAAATATGTTATTTAGCACATGGAAATAGACCAATCCCCCAAAAAAAAAATGTTGAGGTAAACTTCCTTCATTGCTTGGCCTACAAGATATTTAGCATCAATCACTTTTGTTTGTTAAATGTTGTTGGCAAAGTAAAGGTATAAAGAATATTTGATAAAATAAAAAACATACTACATTGTCAACCTTACAAAGTAAGTTATTACAACAATCCGCAAAACATATACTAGCATAGCATAAACTATTCTCTCCAATCTCTGTTTTTTTTTTAAATTTATTTTTTTAGCCACCACTTCGAAAATTTTATCTGGCAATTTGCTTTTACCATGGCCATAAAGTTGAATTGGCAACAACACAGTTATAAATTCTCATAAAATCGTAAAAAGTACAATTTTCAGATATAAAATTGCAAGCAATCCTTGTAGGGGTATTTTGCCAAAAATCTTTTTGACCTAATTCTTTATAGAAGCAGCCAACCAAGAACAGATATAAAATGCTCTCTCATCTTGTGTATTCTGTAGGTTCAACCCTATGTCAAAAAAAAAATAACTTTATAAAAGAAAAATTCGCTTTGCAAGGCTCTTGCTCTTACGAGAATTTATTTTTCCAGACTGATTCGTCATGTAAATCCTGGGCCAACGACATATGGCTCACCTCACATCTACACGACATTTTTATTGACATATATCCGGAATTTTATGAAAAATGTTCAGTGCAACTGCAGAAAAATTGGAATTTGTGTACTGATTCCCTATCAGCGTGTAGTTTGATTAATTTCAACTACGAAATGCCTTGGCCTTTGAATATTATCATTAAACCAGAGCAAATGGAACTTTATAAAGAGATTTTTCAGTTTTTGTTGAAAATTAAATGGGCCTTGCATACTGTTAATCATTTGACTTTTTCAGGTAAGAGTTTTCTTTATCAATGCAATTTATTTTATAAATATATTTATTTTGTTTAGATTTAACAAAGTCGAACATGAAATCTCAAAAAGCATTCAAAGCTACAGCTCACAAAAACAAACCTACAGCAAAACTCATCCGTTTAAAATTCTCGTTAATTAACTTGCTCAACAGCCTACAGCATTTTGTTTTTGGCTTTGTTTTTGGGAAAAACGTACAAAGATTCGAATTGACTTTTGAAAAAGCCTATGATCTAAATTCTATAATAGAATCTCATAGTGAATTTATAAATTCAGTGGCGAAAATTATTTCGGATTTAAAAAGGAAGATGATGGAGAAGGATAAGGATAATAATGTGAGTTTTCAGTCATTTATACAGGGGGAGGTTTTCCTGAAATATGATTTTTATTTTAGATTTCAAATTGCATAAAGCTGCTAAAATTGATGTGGAATGATTTGAGATATGCTTCTGCAGAAAGAATTAATGATTGTAACAAAATTTATGAAACCATATTTAGTGATATTAATCCTGTTATTTTTCCTGAATATATTTATGATTATTAAAATCAAATTTGCTTGAAGGTCTGTGTTTTATTTCTGCCAATAAAAATATTGATGGAAGGTTGGTTACTGTATCTAAAAATTAAATCGAGAATTACTTTAATGGAGTTTTGCTGCAAAACCTCATTACCACAAACTCACAAGCAGCATCCCGCTGGAGTACTAATCTCAACCTTCTATAAAATCCTGGTGCAGGCTATTTTTAGCAAGGAAACTAATTTAGAGGCAGGCTTTCTCGTTTTTTAACGACCTTCGATAAATAAAATAAATGTTGGTTTGTTAGAACCGGGTTAAGGACTCAATTTTCTGCAATAAAGATTTGCTGACTGCGAGTTTCAATGAGTTTTCGCCAGCCACGCTTAAATACGAAAGGCCATTTTGTGCATGTTATTGGATCGTTTCATTGTGTGGCATTGAAAATAACCACAAGGGATTAAAGTTTGCAAGTGATAAATGCTTCCGGGTGGCAACTTTATTGTTCTGAAGGAAAGATACAATCTAATGCCGGTTCCAGACCAAGCAGACAAAAAGTAAACACGATTTTGAGACAAAAATACGACAAAACTGCGATAAAAATTTGGGTATTGAGACAAGGAAAAATTGAGACAAAATTTTCACACCAGAAAGACAAAAATGTGCAATAAAATTAAGTTGTTGGGTGATGCGAATCAGTTGATTATCCGTGTGGCGTTTCCAGAAAGAAAATTCAAAAAATTAAAATTTATTGCTAGCCGCCAGCTGTTATATCTCTCTCATCTTCATCCATTGTTGGACAAATAAAACGGAAATGTTTTTGAGTGAGACCAAGCTTAAAAAAGCGAAAAAATTATTTCATAAATAAATTGTAAGTTCAGTTACGTAGGGATGATATTGGACTATGTGGTAAGATTCACTCAAGCTTTAAGAATTTTCTAAAAATGTCCACCGAAGATTTCGAGAATCTAATATGCCTTGTTAGTCCTGTAGTTGCCAAATGAAATACTGACTTCAACACAACAACAGAACAACATTTGTGTGATGCATCCCTGATTGACACTGGTCTCCTACTTTTGTCAGCACACCTGTCCATACTGCGCCGACAACTTGTCGTAAAATACACAGACAAAACAGAGACTCTTTACTGACTCACTACGAGACTTTCAGAAGTCTCGGAATTTGGAAAAAAAAACAATAATGTTGCAGAAATGTATCGGATTTATTGCGGCTTTGTTGCGAGACATGAATATGTCTTTGTCATGTCGTTGTTTTGTCTGCTTGGTCTGGAGCCGGCATAACTACTCATTATTTGATGAAAATGGTTGCAATTATAAGAATGAAATGATATAAAATAATAATAATTTTTTTTTTGTGAAGATCTTATTCTTTATCATAGCTATTACTCTGGCTAATTAATTTTTTCAAACTCCGGGGTTCACATCTAGTGAACACGGGCCTGGCGACCCCGAGTTACCCGAGCTGAAATCTCCTCCACCTCTTCTTGAGAGTGCTTCTTCTTATCCATCCTTTCCTATCCGGTCACCCCTGACCGTCTTTTATCATGTGTCAATCATTGGAGTGGGAGAAGAGCTTTTCTTCGACCAAGGCAGTACCACCCATCGCTGCGTGGTCTTGTAAATTCGATTCGAATTGTCTGGACCTGGAGCGATTTTCAACACTCTATCCCTTCCTTTCCTCTATCTTCATCTTTTTTTTTACATTTTTATCCTCACTGATTTGGATTACAAATAATGCTGGTCATCCTTTGTGCAAAGAATTCCGTTGTTAAAATACCATCCCATTCGGATCTCCGAGAGGAGGATATACGAGGCGAGTCTACACAAGTTCAATGATTGAATTCTCTAACATCAGAGGTATTAACGCCAACTTAAACTCAGTGCACCAATATTTTGAGCACAAAAATCCACATATTATGCTGATTTTAACCGGGATGCAAGTGAAATCTGTCAATTTCGCTTCAAGAGGGGACTTTGCGTCTTTTCTCGTAGTGTGCTTTCTTGCCACAGAGAGAATAATCTCGAATCACACGAGGTAATTTGGCTAAAAACTTACTTCTACGAACATCGTTACGTTTGAATATTTTGTATGGTATTTGCGCTCGGAGTAGTTGTTTCTAGCTTTTCAAAAATGTTCAATATTGCTCGAACAGAGAGCTTATAAGCCTATGTCCTTCTAACGAGTTCAAAAAAGGACGAAATGCGTAAGGGACTGGCTGGGAAATCTTGCATCCGCAGATTGGCGGATGAATTCCCAAACAAGGACTGTGATGTCCTTGACTTCACGTTGGTAAATACCTGCAAAAACTTTTTTACATGGTTAAGTTTGTTTGCTGCGTATATCTTTCACCTCACAAGAGGTTCATAACTGAAATCGTTCAGTTATGAACTCGGTTATGAACCTCTATATTTGAAAATTTGGCAAATTCATTTGATTCTATAGGAGACCCATTCGAACAAATGCTGGAAGGATTGCTAAAGCATTTGCCTTTTCACACGGCCTAACCCAGTTGGTAGAAGAGCCCACATGTATTTTCGATTCTGTTTCTCTCGTTCCTTAGAAGATCGGTGTTTGCACCTTCGGGCAAATCAGACCACAAATTGATTTCCGGTCGAAGTTCGTTAGTTATACCCGCAGCCGATGCAGGGTGTGGCCCATGACATCTTAACACATATAGACACCACATCTCATTCTCATTCATAAACTGATGTTTGTTGTGATAACAAGACCCCCCATGGGCCAGGAGAGGTGAGCTGCTCGAGGGTGGTCATGGTAGGGATGCATCATCAGAGGTGTAAACAAGACCCGTATTCCCCTCTGAATCCCGTCATTTACTTGAATAAAATAATGAAGTGCGCGCGGGTGCAACTCGTTTATATATTTGTCTGCCTCTAACTCATATGATGTAAGTTTGATGGGCACGTTGACATGCCAGTCGATTGCAGCGTGTGTTCCGCCTGTCTTACAGAACCGGCGTTACCAGTAGTCGTTTTTAGTCTTGAACCTCCAACTTTTTGAAGCAAAGTCCTAACAGGATAAAATATCAATCCGTAACAATTTAGCAAACAAATTGGAGGGAATACACCGGTGTTGGATGGCGACACAAAATTTTGTTTACTGTAATGGCTATGTGTGTTAATATGTCATGGGGTGTGGCATTCTGAAGCTGCAGACTGGAGCGTTTTTGTTGACCTCCTTGATTTGGTTTTCTATTCTTCAGTTGACCGGAGAGAATCTGTCGTGGAAGACGTGTTTCGGGCATGCAAGCGAGGTGACCTGTCCAGCGAAGTAGGTGCCTAATGATGAGGGCTTCCATGCTAGTTGTTTTGGCCCCCTCTGAAACACTAATGTTCGTTCGTCGGTCTTTTCATTTAATCCGTAGGATCATCCTTAGGCACATCTCTGGGTTCGCTGGTGGTATTTTTCTAGCAGGGTTTTTTTGTGTGTCTTCTGTAGGTAGTCCATGTTTCGCAGCCATATTATGTAAGTGTTGGTACTACACTGAATTGTAGACGCAAAGTTTGGCCTCAGCGCTGATGTGATTGTTGAAGACCTTCAAGAAGTCGCCTTAACGCCACGCTAGCACACTTCAAGCGATGTTGTATTTCAGCGTCAATGGTGCTTTTGCTGACATAGGGGTATGGGTAGGGTTCTACATTCTGCAAAGAATTGCCATTACTAGTAATATGTAAGGCTTTGGGATTAGTGCCCGGTGGTGTAAATCCATTGTTTCCCACGGTACAGATGGCTTGCTCTCTGTACCGCAGTAAACAATATCACCGGAAGTAACGGTTTATTCCACATACATTCCTTACCACGCTGCATATCCTGTAGCGTAGTAAATAACGTAGTCCAAGTGACAGCGTACTGCTCATCCTCATCCATTGCTTACTGCAGCCAGTACAAAATTTCTTGCATCTTGTTGAGTTCCAGCGCGGTGTTGCTACTTGAAAAACTCGATATAATCACACGCTGCCAAGTAAGATCGTATAATCTTCCGTCCTCCGTTAGCTTAGTTATCAACGATCTGCTGAGCTGTTCATGTTTATATGCGATCCGCCATGTCGAAGCAAACCAAACAGTTTGAAAGGCGTTAAAATTATACCTAGTTTGCGACGGAGAAGACCTAATCATTAAATTCTACTGTAAAGATAATAATATGATCATGCCACAAAGAACAGAATTGGAAGAGGAGTCTGATAAATTTAAAATATGGTCAATGGTGTGACAAACAGGGCCGTAGCCAGGGGTGGGGGGGCATTGGGGGGCAATGCCCTATCTTTCAAATGATGATGCCCTACCTTTAAAACACAACATGCGTTGAGGTTTCTCTAGGAAATTTAAGAAATTTAAGAGTAGATAATGAATAGGCCTGAAATCGAGTAAGTGCGATAAATAAAGGCTCAAGACGGCGCGTGAATCAGCGCAATTTTGTTCATTTGCCAGATATGTTATTCATTGACAAGGTTGTTTGAGAGACATAGGTTGCCTGATTACTTCATGACGTCATCTTGGGTGCCTCAAAGAATGCAAATCTCCATAAGGCAGCCCAGATGCGTCATCAAGTCAGTCATTACCAGACAACCTATTAACTTTGGAAACCTTGAGTTATTGAAAAATTTGGCTTCGGCACCATTGCCCCTATTTTGTTTACCTATACAAAATTTAAGGGGTGGCGGGGGGGGGGGGCAAGTATTGCATGCCCTATGTCAAATTTATCATGCCCTATCACAAATTTGACTCTAGCTACGGCCTTGGTGACAAATGGATGGAAAAGTTTAGTATGTCTACTGCTTCGAAATGGATCGAAAGATACACATGCCCTTCTGCCAAGAAATACATATACCGAAAGGTATATTTGAATGCCAGTTCAATAGGACAAGATCTTTGCAAGCAAATATAAATGCAAACAAATCGAATGCCATGAATTGCATTAGTAGTTAACTTCTGGCGCTAACTACTCTCCGTTTCATGTGCAACAGTCTACAATAATTATTCGAATCTACTTGTTTATGTTATTAAATAT